GAGTATAGATGGAAATAAAAAGTATAAGTATAATGAAAGAATGCATAAAATAAGATTATGACTTATACTTAAATTTCGACTATCCTCTATAAACTATACTTATAGACCTAGGTAAAGTACACCAATAGTAAGAGTAAAAATCATTTAATCACATTATTGGAGCTCATCGAATTTCATTAAACCGTATAAATGTAAATCAAAAGAAAAGAAATTTATTAGCTTCCAAATAATTATGAGAGGAGGGAGAACATTTTTGGAAATTATTTTTTTTACATAAGGTTGATAATTTGTTGAGAGTTTCATATTGTAACTTTTTTAAGTATTAAAAAAGTCTTAAAATCATAATTTGAACTACATCATTTATAAATAAAAAGAAAAATTTAATTAATAAATTTATATCGAACTCATAACTTTGTACAAAAATCGTTTATATAATATTTTTTGTTATGAATCAATACTTTGAAATCATTTCACAGAAGAAATCTATATAGAACCCTACTTTTCAAACTCTTTATTTGTAATTAACAATCATGTTTCCTTGAATATTGAATTTCTCTAAATAAATTAAATAAATTGAGATTTATTTATTATTATCATCAGCACCAAAACATTAAATTTTTTGGTTTTTAATAAGTCTTACTTTATTATCTACTTATTATGTAATTAAACCTTAGAAAATGTTGCAACTGATTGAATTATTTTGGGTAGAAGCTTCATTAAGGAGTCATAAAATAGAAATACTTTGAGGAAGCATAGAAAATCCTGTAATCAATTGAACTTTGATGAAATATCTTTTGGATTGCCAAGTTCTTGCAACTAAATTTTGATATAGTAAAAAATGAAAAGAAGCTAAGGATCTTACTGATAGAGTTTTTCTATATCTCCCCTGATAATTAATACTAAGAAGGATGTTATGATATCTAACTTACACACAGATATTCATAATTCAATTGTGCACAAGAATTAATATATATTTTTCACCCAAATAATATCACTCAATATCTCTAAATTATAGACAGAAAGAATGGATATTCTCAACTTGTGAGTCATCAATCTTTAAATATAGATATTCTTAAAATTTTTCAATTATTAAGAAAAATCAACATATCAATCCAAAAAAGAATGCAGTCAAAACAATTAAGCTGCCTTTTAAATCATAAACTTATTAGCCAAATATTTAGTTTTATTGATGTAACCTTCAATCCTAACTTTTCAGCTATGAAAATAATAAATATTTTTGTTAATACACTGCTATTACTTCCATATTTGCTATCAGCAGTACATCGTCAGCTTATGCCATCACCTATGCTTAAAAGAGTTTTTTCCTTTTTTTCATTTTTGATGGGAGTTTATTGGATTCTTTTTTTATTTATTTCTTTCTCAAATCAATAAGGGGGTTGAAGAAGAAATTAATAATGAAAAGACTCAACAAAGACAAAAAAATCGATATTTTTTGTTAAGAACTGTCTACATTTCATCATATACAAGAGTAATTCTCTATCAATTGTGATGTATGCATCAGATAGATCAAAAAATTAATGTTTTTCAAATTCTCTTTCCTTTTAAGTTTTATGCCTACATTAATTTGTGTTTTAAATCTGTTCACAAATCCTTTTTGTTTTGAATTATCATGCTTTTTTTAATTTCTTTGAAAGTAAATCAGAAACTTCATTCCACAAATTTTACTAGGTGGCTCTAAACCATTATCGGTCTCAATGTAACAAACTTATACAATCTTTAGAGTTACGTTTGTTCATTGGTGTCAGTCTTTTGTGCAAAACAAAATTTGTTTATTTTGCATTTCTAGATCGTATAATACCATCAATTTAGATTTCTCTTGTGTACTCTTGTTCCATTATATAATCACCATCTTTAGTTATTGTCTCAAAAAATCTAATGTTCTTTAACTGCGTTGGCTTTCATGTATTATATTTATTGTTAGACTTGTGCAGTCTTCCAGGGTACCTTTTGATATTCTTCTTTGGTAAGAACTTTAACCACCTCCTTCATTCTCTTTGCAATTATGAATTACCCCTTTTAATTAGTGATTTATTCTTCTTGTATGCTTATTATTCCTTACCCCTTTTAAATTATGTTGAGTGTTACTGAATTTTTTCTTTTAATTCCTTTCCATTTCAATTACTTTATTCTTAAATTCCTGATTCTATTCTGTATATCTAAGTGCTCTGAATTTTAAAATCTATACCTTAGGTCTCCAACATTATCTCTTCTTTATTAAGTCTCCAAGAATTATCTTCTTGTAATTTTCCTCTAATTCCCAAATCTTGGTTTTTATTAAATTTAAAAAATTCTTCTCTTGCCCTTTTGTCATTCAGCACATAGTATGACATGTTTATCCCATTCTTGACATTACTTTTATTGTGAGAGGGTTGTGTTATGATGTCTTTATTCCATCTTTTTTTCTATAAAATCCGTTTTTAAATTTCTAATATTTCCGATTGACTAATTAAGAGAAATAAATCAATTTTTTTAATCATTTTAAAAAAATAATTCAGATCCGCACCAATATTCTATTATTTAAAACTAAATCTTTCTGTTAAAATCTGTAATTCTCCTTCGAAATTCTGTTTGATGAAAATTTATTGGTTCCTCATATAATTTCCACAATTAGTGGTTTTTGGTTCAAAATCATCCTTTCTCTTGGATCTTATTTATGGTACCAACCTATCACTAATTATTTTCGATTCCTTTCTTTCATGTACCATAGGTATCCGATTGTTCTTTTTGACTTTCAATTTCTATATCTCCCTCTTAAAGTATCTATATGCTTTTTTTCATTTCAAGGATCACTCTTCTTATCTTATAGAGACTCTAGTTGCTGATGTTCCAGTTAATAGCAAATAATTCAACATCATCCCTTTAGTGACTTGACCCAGAGCTGGGAGTCGAAGCTTTTCTTCCTCATCTTTAAATTTTTCTTTCTTCCTCATTTTTGTTTTCTAATCTCTCAAGACACCTTTGCACTCGCTCCTTCATCCCCTTGACACTGTTTAGATGAAGAATGGGAGGATAAATATATATCATTAGAAATTTTTGATTAAATTTTTTATTGGAATTATATGATTTAACCAAATAACAGCATATAATAAAAGAATTGCATCGGTCTTCAATAAGCATAAAATATCGTAGGATATGTTCTGAATTCTAATCAAAAAAATATTAAAGAAACTAAGGTAAAATGTACAAGTACTATTCTTGTTGATTCTATTCTTAACAAAAATCTCATCATTAAATTTAAAGAGTAAATTTTCTTCTTCCAAATTGCTAATTGTGGATTTTATAAAAAATTAATTTAAAGTTTTAGTTTCCATTTATGTTTCTTTCTGTAGACCAATGCACGATTGGCAA